GCCGCCACGGTGTCCCCTCTCTGCAGGGGACACTGTCCTGTGCAGCCACACGGCCCTCAGAAGTAGGTGAGGTTCTTGACGAGTCCCAGCTCCAGCATCCGCTTGATGGCCACTGCCTCGCGTGACACGTTGTGCCCTGATGCCTGTGGGACAGGGAGCAGGGGGTGATACCAGCGCCCAGAAAGGAAGGGCCATGTGCTCTCCCACCACTCCTCTCTGCCCTCCACCTTGCCCACCCCACCAGCAGTGAGTTGAGTCCCCCAAAAAGAGGGATGGAACACACAAACTGGTGATAGATCCAGTTCTCCGTGCCTCCAAAGACACTGGGCTACAGGGAGAAGCTGGACAATGACCATCCAAATGTGGACATCAACACCCATAGTGGAAGGGGAGCAAGAGGTTCCCATGGGGAGAGCCTCCCACGCCAGCATTATGGCACTGCAGTCCTTGCCTTCCATCCCTCATCCCAGGGGAAAAACGGGGAACATGGACAAAACTGTAGGACAGACACTTACAGCCATGGACTTGAGCGTGATCTGTTCGTAGTAGTGGATGGTTTGCTTCTTGTTGGCCGAATCTGGGTAGCCAAAGCCTGCGATGTGCACCAGGTCACAGAAGTGCAGTGCCAAGGTGATGGCCAGCAGCCCCGTGGTGGGCTTCTGTGGGGAGAAGGTGCAGAGAGACACAGCCTTTAGTGAGCTGCATGGCGACAGGCTGTCCCCACTCAGGGGGGCTCAGGGTGACTGGCCATCCCCACCCGTACCTGTTTGATCTTCCGTGGTTGCTTCATGGAGAGGTTGAGCAGTTTAGCAGCAGTTATTTCCATGTAGTATGGGTTGAGGATGCGCACTTGCTCCGGGTTGGCGTCCCAGATCAATGGGGGCTGTTTCCAAAACCCTTTTCGTACCTGCAAGAGGGCAGAGATGTCCCCAGGGGTACCGTGGGATGAGAGTTGGACTCTGGAGTAGACAGGGAGGGGTTATACCCAGTTTCCTACCACACTCACCCTCTTCTTGTCATTGAGGATGGTCTCCATCCACTGGAAATCCATGGACTTGAAGGGCACCAGCACCAGCAGCGTGTCGGGGTTGTTCTCCGTCCGGGGGTCGAAGTGGGCTGACTCCGGGTAGAAGAGGCGCATGGTGGTTTTGGAGCCCACGTCCTGCTCATAACCATGGACTGGAGCATTGTTCAACCTTGGTGGGGGACACAGGGACATCACAGCTGTCAGCCCCAGCTGTGGGTGGCACTGGGGAGGGAGCAGTGGGACAGACCCAGGGCTGTACCTGATCACAACATCATAGGAGTTGATGGTCTCCCCCATGGAGCTGTTGCGGAGCCGGTGGCCGTTGCCCACCACCGCACACCTCCGGCACTTGAGGCTGTGAGAGAAAACCCTGTCTCAACCAGACCCACTCCCAAACCACAGCGATTTTAACCCCCAAGGGGGGGGTATAACCCTGTGTTGTCCAGTCTCCAAACCTTCCCACACTCCATCCACCACCTCTTGGTTGCAGAGGTTCATTTAATCAAATCCTGGGCCCACAATAGACAAATTCCACCCCCCACAAGAGAGCAATGATGCAGAGAAAGACAGAAAAGTCCCTAAACCCACCCCAGTGTTACCTCTGGATGCTCTCGGGCAGGGAGTAGTGGGTGACGGACAACAAGCGCATGAGGACGTCTTCTGCAAAGCAAGGGCAAGGAGAAGGTGAGGAAGGCAGTTCCTGCCTGGCACAATGCCCTGGGTGCTGCCCCATCCCTGCCAGATTTCCTCCTGCTGTTAATCCTAGCTCCAGGCGGATAATCCATCGCTGGGACTTACTAAAGCCAGCCCCACCCTGAACCCTGTTAGAGGGCCCACATGCACCCAGGGCAAGGAGATACGTGCTGCAGAGTTTAAAAATCAAGCAAGTAACTTGGTGAGAAGGAGAACAGTCCCCCAAAAAATCAACCTGCAGCTGTTTTCATGAAGAGACAAGCTGCAACCACGGGGAGCAGCAGCAGGACGGACAGACAGAGCGCACGGAGCGCGGCCAGGGCTCACCGCTTCCCTTGGTGCCGTAGGGCAGCTCGTACAGTGCCGGTGCCTTCACCCAAAAATAGTCCTTCAGCTGCAAGAAGAGCGGGTGGTCCCTCGTGTAGCTGCCGAGGAGCAAAGGGCCAGTGAGACTGGGATGGGGGGACAGCCCAGGGAGGGGAGTTCTGGCTCTGCATCCCCCCACTCCCTGCTCCCAGCCCCAGAACTCACTTCTCAATGAGCTGCGCCGCTTTCTTTTCCACCTCCCCGATGGGACACGTTGTCTTGTTTTCTTGCACAGGGAAATAAAAGCTGTAAGGGAAGAAGGTTAATAAAATTAAATGATGCCTGTTCCTCTGCACACACCCCTGGAAAAGGGGGGGGCTCCGCCACCTCCAGCCACCCCCGTGGTGGGATTCAAGCCACGACGGAGCTATTTCCAGCTGGATTTAAAGCCAGCACTGCCTTGGATATTTCTGTGCTGGGCTTGCAGCTTTGCATCAGAAGAGGTCTCCCTTGCCCTGCTCATGAGCCTCACACACTCTGCTTTCCCCGTCCCTGGCACAGGGAAGAGCGCGGGGTTTTTCATCCTCACAGGCTCAGACAAACACCAGCAGCTGCCAGAAACCCTCACAGAACCCAACCACCACCACCACATGCCAAGGGGCAATCTCATATCATGTCCCCCCATCCTCCGGCAGCAGCCACCACCCCAGTCCCCTGGGATGCAGCCCGCCAATGCTCCAGCATCCCTGCACGGGTCAGGAGGGAGGATGCTGCCCCCCGGGAAGCGAAGGAAAGGGCAGGAGGTCCTTTAAACGTGAATAAAAGCCACTCACAGCTGTATGTACCTGTCTTCCCGGTAGATTGAGTACCAAACCATCACCAGAAACAGCGCCAGCACCCCGAGTATCTTCCCTCCTGCATGCCCAGAGGTGAGGGGGAGAGAAAAACCACCATCAGACCAATATCCTGGGGTTTGGATGATTGGATGTGGGAGGTCCCACAGCTCCCTGGTCAATCCAGAGCCTTCTCCCCAGGGAGCAGCA